TGCTTATCAGAGATCCGAGATGACCTCAATCACCCCCTACCTTTTGGGCCTTTCTCCTTCTTGCTTAGAGTCTTTTGTTTCGAGGACCTTCTGGGAAGTTGGAACTTATTTTTGCTAAAGATCCTCAAGGTGTGTGTCTATAGGAGCTGCAGGCTGTTAGCTCTGGAGGGCAGAGCCAGTAAGCAGCATTCTTACATCTCAAGATTACTCCTTTCAGCCACTGTTTTGGAAAACAAAGTAGGCCCAGTTTGTGTCTATCCATAGAACATTTTACCTTAGAAATGAACTTTAATTTTGGAAAGATGAAACATTTGCTTCATATCTTCAAAATACCTTCTTCCTGCACCCTATTAGATTTGAAATCAATAGAAGGGGTTACTGGCTCTTAGCCAGGATGAGCCAGTGGCCAGGACACTGAATCCGTCTCCTCCACGAAGCTGCTCCCAATTTTCCCACTCTGTCCTCTCGGATGCTTCTCTCATTTTTAACCTCACACTAAAGACTGAATCCTCCCTCCTCACTAAAGTTTTCAGAGACCAGTGTTTCTGATAAATTAAGATCCTGCACATGCATTCTGAAACTCAATAGCATACACAGAAGTTAGGAAAGATTTCATTGAAACTTGCAGACACGGGCTTCGCGTGGTTGAGTCTGGCCCCTCCTTTCCTTCCCTTCCGAAGCCTGGCAGCACCTCCTCCCACCACCCTGGGTGTATGCCCATGGCAGTGGAACGTGAGTGGTGGAGGTTGACTCACAGTCAAGTGCACAGATGGGAAGCCAGTACTAGCACCATGGTGGATGAAGAGACTCCCAGTCAGAGCACAGCCCCACATTCCAGCTGTTGTCATAGGGAATGTGGGAACTAGGGAATGACCAGGAAGGGTGTTCCTTGAACATAGCAGGGACTTCAAAAGCTGCGTGGATAAATGGAATTAGAAGATGTTTATTTTGGTGTCAAAACATTGAAGTCATGCATATTTTTTTTCACAATACGTATTTTCCAGGAACTTTTTGAAGACCTTTTGCACAGTCACCTTTTTCTTTCTCCTCCTCCTTCCCTTTCCCCTGCGCCTTTAACTTGCCCATCAGAGGCCAGGACACAGTCCCTGTGAATGCATGCCATGAGAGCCACAGCACTGTCCCAGCAGCCGCCAAAGCCTGTGGCCAGTGGTCATGCCACGTCCTTGGAATTGGACTTTTTAAAAATTCTGCATCCCCACTGAAACTCCAGGCTCCTTTGTGGTGGCCTCCTTAGCGTGTCTGTAACCTGCCGCCCTTTGTTTCTCAGAATAAAGCAGGCGCTCGACACAGCCTGGTCGTTAAGCATCCACCTCGAGAGCTCCCTTCCCAGCCCCGGCCACCAGCACCTGTGGCCTGGACTCCTCGCAGCCTCTCCTCCCGCCCTGCCCTTCTCCAGTGTGTTCTGCACACGGCCAGCCAGCACACCCTTCCTGGTAGGCTAACCTGATGCTTCCATTCCTGTGCTCACCACCGACCACCATGGCTCTCGGCACAAAGTGCAACTCCTTACCATGCCAAGTGAGGCCTTCCTGATGTCCACAACCTCCATCCCTGTCTGCTCTCCCCCCAGGGTCATCCAACATCTGGAGCTTTGCAGGCCTCTCCTGGGGCTTCCGGCGCTCCACCCTTGCCTCTTCCATGGTGTTTCCAATGCTGTCCTTAGGTTGTCATCTCACACTCCAGGCTGCGACCACTTTCAGGTGGAGATCAAGTCATGGTAACTTCTGTCTCATGTCTGCTCACTGAGTAAAGACTCTCCAGGTGTTTGCTTAGGAACACAGCACAAACACATGGAATACCAGCAAGGGTCTAATGAATGGGTGCTCATATTTGTTGCTCTAACACTGAGAATACACGCCAAGCTCAGGGGCCAGGACAGATAGAAGACAGACTCTCATAAAGTTTTCCAGCGAGGGCATAGAAAAATCAATGTTTTAAGTTTCTTATTTGATCTTGTGCTTTTATATCCTACTTCATAATGGGCAGAACTTCTTGGTTGGAATCTCTTTTCCACTTAGACATTCCTACAAAAGCACACACTGTGTGGGACTTGGTGGCCTGACACATTCAAGGTCAGGTGCCCTGTCAGTCCTCTTGGCTTTGTGACCTGAGAGGCAGCCCCATTTGGCTGTGTGCACCCATGGGGGACAAGCACATCACAATGAATACAGATAAGTCAGTTCTCTTCCTCTCACCTCTCGCTTTTAGGTGGTATGGAATGAAGGCATCAGAAACTAATTTTGCCTTTCACTTTTGAGATAAAGTTCCATAATGCAGTTTGACTTGGGTGAAGCAGCTGCTTCTTTGAGATCTTTCAGTGATAATAATTACCGCCATCTTCAGAAACATTTAACCGTGCCCTGGATGAGTGGATCTATTCTGTTTAGCATCTTTTGAAAAAGGAAATGGAGAGGGCCTGGTGCTATGGCCTAGTGGCTAAATCCTCACCTTGCATGCACTGGGATCCCACATGGGTACTGGTTCATGTTCCAGCTGCTCCACTTCCCATCCAGCTCCCTGCTTGTGGCCTGGGAAAGCAGTCGAGGACAGCACAAAGCCTTGGGGCCCTGCACCCATGTGGGAGACCCAGAAGAAGTTCCTGGCTCTTGGTTTCAGATTGACTCAGCTTGGGGAGTGAACCATTAGATGGAAGATCTTTCTGTATCTCCTTCTCTATAGATTCGCCTTTCCAATTAAAAAAATTAAATCTTTAAAAGAAAAATTTCTATTCATCGAAATGTTAAACAGATAATAAACAAGCCAACAACTACGATGCCCAATGAATTCTGAAAATTTATTATTTTGGAGAATATCAGATATTGATCTTTCATTTTACAGCTCATGATAACCATCAGAAAATAATACATCTTGAAACCAACGTCAAAGGAAAAAATTACATACAAGACATATGACAGTTTACTGGTACATTAAGCAAAGCGGCTGCTAAAAGCATGTGTCCACCATACATGAACATGGCAATGTTTTCTGCAGCAACTCAGATCCTCCAAGGGTGGATAAGGACAGACAGAACAGAAGAACTTTAGGGCTGTCACCAGGACTGGCTGTAAACTGATTTAAAAAAAAAAAAATCTTTCCCCTCCCCCCATATATATATATATATGTATATACTTTATTGCCTTTATATTTCTGCTGGTTTAATATAATTAGTATACTAAATAGTAATCTGCATTTATTTGGTTTCTAAAAATCTATAAAATGCCTTGGAACGAGCTCCTGTAGCTTTTCAGGCAGCCCCAGGGCTGGTGGCGGGGTCAGCCGCCCCGGGAGACCGGGAAGCAGCAACACTGAATAAATAATGAGAGTTTCGATCCCACAGATGGCCTTCACCCCAAACTGAAAAATACTGTCACAAATAGCCTCAACACTCAACTTATAAAAACAAACAAACAACAACAACAACCAAAAAAAACCCCAAACTGACAAATGTAAAGGTAATACTTAATGAGCTGAATTTTAACACAGTCTACACAGCTGCTACACACGGGGGCAGGTAAGGGAGGAAGGTGGGCACGGCATGGTGATTTACATGTAATTTAAGGCCTGATTTGTCCAAGGCAATGCAATGGGGGAACAACTCATCTGCTTACGCCCTTGGCACTCCTGAAAGAGGTTGTACCCTTTCTATTCTTCAGTCCTCAATCCAATACAGTTCTGACCTGGAAAGATGTTCACAGAAACGTGGCTTCGAACGAAGAGCTTTGTTTAAACACCGTTTTGTTCTTATTCACAAAGAAAACTGTCTTTTACTGCAGGGATACGTTCGTGTCTACTGTGCAAGGAGGTGCTTATGCGCGTGCATTGCTCAACTGCACGGCTCCCATTACAACCTCCATGATATTTTTATGGCATCACGCAGGCACACCTGTTTCATCAGTCTTGGTTTAGCTCTGGTCTGTGACTAATCTGGACAACAGGGATTGATGCTGATTCCCACGGGTGCCTGAGGGGATTAAATGGGTGATTCCTATTGATATGAATGGAAATCTCACACATTAAAATAAAAAATTCCCTGTGTGTCTGGACAAAACACCAAACGGTAATGAGCCAGGGATCTCCGAGGACACAGAGCACAGGCAGCCCAGCGCATCAGGGCGCTCACACAGCTTCATGCTGTTTCAACTTCTCCTGGGTAAGAAAAGCAAATGTTTTTAAATATTTTCAGTACTTGTAAGAAAATCACAGTAAAACAATTTTTTTTTTTTGCACTATGATATTAAAAAAAAAAGTTTTATCATCCATTTTAGTATTTACAATCAGAGTCCTTCCCCCAAAATTTGATATCTGGCATATTTGTATGCCACTGCCTGCTCCCCTGCCCCTCCAAAATGTATCCAAAGACGTGGCATTTAGCCTTACTCGGTTGTGCTCACTGTAGATCAAGGTGAACACAATTAGATTAAAATATTTGAAGCTGTTCCTACAGAGATGAGTCCCCCCGTCCCTCTATTTTATAAAAGAGACCTCGCTTCCAGAAGTTGGAACTGGCTGCCAAGTACAGGGGTGCCAAGCTCACACCCAGCTCACACTGAGCGTCCCCCTCCCCGCAGGACATGGCAGCTCCTGGGGGGGTGGTCAGAGAGGCTGACCACGACGGGTCCAGGGCGACTGCTGGTGGGAGGAGCACTGCTGCCTTTCCTTACCATGATGAGGCGAATCCCAATGCCACGGCCACGGCGTGCAAAGGCATCGCTCTAAGTTAACTGCACAGCTTAACATTTCTGATTTCAATAGAGCACAATTTAGAAAACGTGTTTCTTTGTGAACAAGGTTTCAATGTCTCTGAACAACAGCATGACTGTATTGGATGGGACTTTTTAAAAATAAGGCATATACTGGGCATACAGAAATCACTAGCATCACAAAAGCTATGAATTATTTCGATTTTTAAATTATCTTAATTTAAAAACATAGGTAGATATGAAATAACTTAAAAGCTGAGAGCAAATGTATACATGTTTTGGTTACTTAGATAAGAATCATTTATTTCCCAAGTTATTTGTGAAGCAGTATAATGGCAAGATAAATTCCGTAACTCCAAGAACCCAGAGAAAACAATATATTCATTTGAGGTCCACTATTTAGCTGGACAAGAAAAGGCAATACTGCATTGTTTGAATTCTCTAGAAGCTTCTATATATATATTTTAACAGCCATTCTCAAAATTTTTCATAGGAAACCTAAATAAAGCAGCATTCTCAGCATTCATTAAACCAAAAATAAGTCAACTATATGAAAACATCCAAAATCGCCTTCATGCATAAGACATATCTTTTTATTGTTACTATGGCATTACTCTATTAACCCACTTTTACTTTATTGTGTGGAAAGAATGCAGAGAGTGTATTTTCTCCAGAATTAAAAACGACTTTAACTTTCAGAGTAATGTCTTAATCGTACATGTACCAAATCTGCTCAGAGGGAATGGGAAAATGGCTGGGAGCTGTGTGACAGCTCGTGTCTAAGCATTATTTGTGGAAGTGAGTTAAGACGCCACCCGCTCACAGGAAACGTGCCGACTCATTTTTGGTTTCATAAGTAAAACAATATATTTGAAGATGGGAGATTGGTGTCCTGTTAAAAGTCCAACAAAAATGAAAACATCTGCTAAACCTGGCTCCCCTTCCCTTGTAAAGGGTACTTCACTGTAATCTACTTTCCCCCTGTCCGTGGGGAGACGTCACAGCCAGCCACGCTACGCGTGTGGTCCACAGGTAGACAGTGGGCTCTTCGGAGAGGTGTCCGCTGACTTCAGCTGGGGCTCGCCGCCCTGGCCCTCACAGGTCCATCTCTTCAAAGCGAGGGTCGGTTCCGAGGGCCCACGAGACGGCGACAAGGCAGGGCAGGAACAGAACACCTGTTGACTGGGACAGTCCACGCCCAGCTTTGCTTCGAGCTCCACAACATCCCTTTTCTTCTACCGTATCTGAAACACTGCAAACCTTTTTACACATACAGTTGACCTCATGGAAAAATACTTCTGGTATGCGATGTTGAGCCCTCACATATTTGGGAACTGATGCAGAGAAAAAGTCACATTCCACATTTAAAAAAAAAAAAAGCGATCCCGATGATTATGCCTAAGGAGGCACTGGCTCGGAGGCAAGGGGGTTCTTCTGGCGGAGCACCCCGCAACACGTGGGCAGCCCTAAGCCAGCAATGTGTGGCTGGAGTCTGGCAACGGGCACACAGAGTTGGAAGCACAAAACACTCAACATTAATTAAGTCATGGGATAAAAGTCAAGATACCAAAATATTGCAACATGGACATTCACACCTTAATTGATGAAATGGAATAAATTAAACTAAGCCGGTCACCCGTGTCTCTTGACTCTTAAAAGTCATAGTTTATTTATGTGTACACACAGAATAATACTTCTCCAGGGCTCTCAAAATGCTACACATAAAAATGAAGGCTTTGCTTGACGGCTGTGCTGGAGGGCAACAGCGCATGTGAAGACACAGCCTCTGTCCTTTACATCAGTGCACAGGATTTGGCTCCAAGTGGTATGCGGTTTAAGAGAGAGAAAAGAAATTATGTCCTCTGTTCATTATTGGCACACATCACAGAAGGGACCCGACCATCCTTGGTACCTCTGCTGGTCTCTCATCTCAAGGAAGCTGTCCTTAGACGTATATGCCTTCAGGGTTAAAGCCAGACGACACAGGGCTCTGCAGAATCCGCAGGTTGCTGGGCAGTTGCCGAGAGGACCCAGGGCGCTTCAGGGACCCAGACTGGAATGTTGGCTCTAAACAGCAAACACGAAGTCATTTGGTTAATGCCATCACCTTGCAAGGCTCAGCCATGAGGCCAGTGTGACTGCTTCCTGCCCTGAGGGACCCACAAGGGAGATCACAAAGCCCAGGGCTGGAGAAGAGGGGAGCCCTCTCAGAGCAAACCTTATTTGGTCAATGATTAATGTGAAGGCAGAGCGAGAGAAAGACAGACTTTGCACCTGCTGGTTCACCCTCTAGATGCTCCTGCAGCTGGGGCTGGGCCAGGCCACAGGCAGCCTAGATCTTATTCCAGGTGCCCCACATGGGAGGCAGGTATCCAGCAATGTCTCCCAGGGAAGCTGGAATCAGAAGCGAAGCCAGGATTCAGACTCGGGCACCCCAACCTGGGACACCGGGGATGTCACACCTTAGTGGTTACACCAAATGCCTGACTCGAGAAGTCTACTGGACAAGTCAGCTTTTGTTGAGTTGGACAGGGAAGGATCTTAGAAAAGGATGGGCCTTTTGTGTCTCTTTACTGCTTGTTCAGACCACGTGCATGTATGGATCTGGAAATGGCTTCTAAGCTAGTGCGCACTGATCAAGACTCAGGAGAAGCAGCAGCTACAGTCCGAGTCAGTGGGCTGGGACTTACAGATCATCCAGGGAAAGGCAGCACTTAGGGGGCAGGTGTGGTGGCGCAGTGAGTTAACCTGCCCCCTCTGAAGAAAAGAGTTCAAGTTGCAATCAGTTACTCTGCTTCCAGTCTTCCTAAACTCACAAGCCTAGGAAGGCGGCGCCTGCGTGGGGGGGCCTTGGTCCTGGATTCTGCCTGGTCAGCCTGGCCTGTAGTGACCATCTGGAGGATGGAAGGGATGACCAGCAAATGGGAGAGAGATCTCTCTTTTTCTCTTAATCTTTCTTCCTATGTGTGTCTTCCTCTTTCCCATTCTGTTTTTCAAATAAATAAATACTTTTTAAAAAAGCAGCAGATGAAAATGAATGACAGGAGGTTTATTTAGTTAAGTGCATGGTCACCTAAGCAAGTAAACAAACTGATGTTACAGGTCGTCCCAAGGCTCAGGAATTATGCCCCCACATGACAGAAAGAGGTGTGAATGGCAGAATAATCCAAAGTTAACCAGTGCAAACAAAGAGGGGAAGCCCAGCCACTAGCTTCTTACCTCTGTCGATGTCTGCGTGGGATGCCTCTATTTCGATGGGCTCAGCTGGCAACACGGTCACTTTTGTCCCTGTCTGCTGGATAAACTGCTGGAGGTTGACCTGTCGCAGCTCTTTAGTCAACTGCTCCAGTTCTTGTTCTTTGTCCTAGATGGAAATGATTGTTTTCAGACTTACCGTCACCACCAGCTAGGTGAAGACATGCTGGTGACCACGCGCCTGCTCCTGGGAGTGACCGCGGGAGACCTGCCGCCCCTCAAGAGCTCCGTCACAGATGGGAATCCCCTGCATGGCATGGGACAGAGAACGGCGTCTTCAATCTGTCCTCTTAAATGTGATGCTTTTCTTTGGGATGGGGCATCAAGGTTGGGCAGCCAGAAAGTTGTCCAAATCACAAGAGGCCTCTCACAGTGGAGGAGCTCTGCTCCTCACTGGCCAACCCCCCCAGGCTGAGCGAGTCTGAGCACCTGCGGGGTGGTGGAGCAGACATCAGAAGCAAGTGGTTGTCTTCTCCACTTTCTGAGCAGTGATGTGTTTGTTACCTGATCATCAGGGGCCTGTCGGCGGGAGTTGCTGGAGGTGGCTTGCCACGAGGTGGTATTTCTGGCAAATGTCGGCTCCCAAGCACAAGCTCCTTGCAGTGCTCAAAGGACTCAGGGCTTTGTGTGTGACAGATTCCTGATGGTCACTGCAGTTACTCACCAGGAAGGGAGATCACACTGGCTGTCTCTGGAACCTCAGCTTTCTCTGTTTTGGAACCTGTCCTATTGTGAAGCTGCTCACCTCACACCTGAGCATGTGCAGGTGCCATGTGAACATCTGGTTCTCAGGTTCCAGACTGCTCCAGAGGCTACTGGCCCAGGCTAGTCAGGACAGTAAGGACCAGCCACAGCCCAACACAACTGCCTCCCATGATGGAAACTGGCCCTGACACAGCAGCACGGGGAACGTGGCTGAGTGTGCGCCTAAAGACAGAGCTTCAATGGGACTTCCTTTTTAAGCTGCTTTGATCATTATCTGCATTCTAATTAAAAGCACAGACAGCCACACTGGTGTCCATCATGTCAGTTTCCCATCCCATGGGTTAGAGACCAACACATCTTTGAAACCCTTATGACACAATCACAGTGTCTTCGTGGGATCGGATGGGAACCCAGGAAACAAGCTGAACAGTCAGCAGCATGTGGGTGGAGAAATAGCAGCGTTTCCCTCCGTGTTCCGGTGAGGGCAGAAGTTGGAGCGGAGACTTCATATCTGTGTCCTTGGGAAAGCAAAGGATGGCTGGGGAGGGTAGAGTGGGAAGGGGTCACTGGAATGAACATCTGGAACACAGCTGGGATTGACAACAACTGAGAAGTGACTGAGAGGCAGTCAACCAGCCCCACAGTCCTCAATCACCCCTTCCAGCTTCTAAGAGGTCACACTGGCCCTCTCACCACGACGGGCCAGGTCCAGCTGCCCTGTGCTGTACTACCTGCCTCCATGCAGAGGCCTCTCCCACTGAGCGAGGAGCGGCGTGGCCTTGGCACCCCCCTGGTCTGGTCTCACCAAGGCCAGTCCGAAAGTCACAAGGAGTCTAGGAGACTTCTAAGCAAAGCTAGGATTTACTTTTAACCCTTTACCTATGGGGGAGACGGTGGTGAAGGATGGAGTTTTCTATAAAGACAGGAAACGCCCGTGGGTGGAAGTGCTCTCACCTGCAGCCGCTTGGTGGCCTGTCCCAGGGACCGTTCCACAGCCTTGATGCCGTTCTCCAGCCGCAGGCTCTGCTGCCCCTGCATGTCGATCTCCCCCCTGACCTTGCCGATCTTCCCCTTGACCTCTTCCTCATTGACCTGGGCTTCCTGCACTTCCCGCTGCAATTTCTCGGCCTCGAGTCCACTCTCCATGGTCTGGATCTGAGCCAGGTAGTCCTTTAGTTTGCTTTCACAGTCTGCGATCTTCTGTCGTATTTCTTGGAGCTGATCCTTCAGCTGTTTTTCGTTTTCCTGTTCAATCTGTAATTCATTTTCCCAAAATTCCTCCTCCTCAATTTCTACATCGTTCCTTTTGATCTTTTGCTCCAGGCGGACAATTTCCTCTTCGAGGCTGGAGCTGTATTTCTGCTCCCAGAATCGTATTTCTATGTCGTTGGACTCCAGCTGCTTCTCGATCGACTGCAGCTTCTCTGTCTGCAGGCAGATCAACTTCTTGAGCTCGTCTGCACTCGTCTTGCAGTTGTTCAGCACCCTTTGCTTAAATTCCGTTTCCTTGCCTTTTCCGAAAATGTCCATTAATCCTTTGGCACCTCCTGTGAATGTTAGCGATTTCCTTTTGGGTTCTCGCCTTTTTATCGACTTGTCAATCTGGGGCCTCAGTTTGGCTAAGGGCGGCAAGCTCTGCCAGTACAAAGTTCTCTCGGGAACCCGAGCCACGCTGTCCGAAGTGGGCCTCTCGCTGAGGGACGGCCCGGTGCGCCGCAGGATGAGCTGGACATCGCTAGCGTACTGCCCCCACTTGTTCAGGGATATAATGGGGTTCTCGTGAGGCGCCAGGTGTCTCTCGGTATCTCTCCATTTCTCTATGAGAGTATACCTTCCAGTTCGACCTAGACAAATGGGATAACAATCCAGGGAGTCAGAATGGGATATGGAATAGCCGGGAATGCAACAGAGGATGCCACTGGATAGCTGTGTGTTGATGCTTATTTATCTGAGAGGCAACAGACCGACAGGGAGAAAGAGCACACACTTAGAGTTCCCATCTCCTGGTTTACTCCCAAATGCCCACAGTGGCGGGGGCTGGGGCCAGTCTCCCACATGGGTGAGAGGCACTCAACTACTTGAGCCATGACCAGGGTCTCCCGCAGGAGGAAGCTAGAGTCAGGATCCAGAGCTGGGAATCAAGCCCAAGCACTTGAATTTGAGATGCAGGTGTCTAAAGCACTCATCCCAACACCTGTTCTGTGTTCCTCACCAGTACCCAGGGGCGAGCTCCAGAACTCACCCCATGTTGCCTGTAAGCCTTTAATGAAGACGCCAAACCTTTTCAAGATGTAAAACTCCAGGTGTGAACTGCTCAGACACTTAGGACAGGCTGTAATTTTTCAACTGTGAACTTGGAGCCTGAACATCTCCTTATGCTCTTGTGGAATGCCCAAGTGTCCTGCACTTTGCCTCTTGGGCAAAACTGAACAAAGTTTATTTCTAGGGCAAACACAGGGACCAGAGAACTTCCTCTGCCAGTTGTGAGAGAGCAGGCCCAGAAGCTAGGTGGAGTCTTGAAGCCTGAATAAACTGCACAACTGCTTCTGCTTTCCTTGCACCTCAGTGCTAGGGAGGAAGGGGGCCTCTGCTTAACCCAAGAGACCCAGTTCAAGCCAGCTGCCTGCATCTCCTCTGTCTCCCCAAGGGGGCCCGGCCAGCCTCCAGCTCACGCTAGAGACAGGCAACCCTTCAAGAGGGCGTATATAGAAGAGGGGTTTAAAGAGGAGGAGCTGGGTTTAGTTCTCATAGTAATGGTTTCAAAGATTCCCCTTAAAACAAAAACAAAGCCAATCGGTATCATTAAAAAGTAAAACAATAAAATCACATCTATTTAAGTTTAAAAACAGGTACACTCTCACAAGTGGTTATGGAAGTAGGATATAATTTTAAAGACAATGTTACATCCTAAAGCTTGAAAAACCAATATATTTTCACATATGGTAGGTGGGTCAGATGGATTGTTTTGGCACATGAGCAGTTAATGTTATGAAAATCAGTCGCAAACACCCTGAGCAGCTAGCCGGCAGCTCTATCGGGATCTACAGCTGCTGATTTGCTTGCCATGTTTTCTTTTTCAAATTTCATGAGTTTCTGAGCCCTGGGTGTGTAAACAGGACCATGTGTTTCGCAGTTCAGAAGCAGCTTACAGGAAGTCAGACTGCCATAAGCACCATTGCCCCCTCCTTCAAGGACACCTGCACCTTAGGGGCAGCTGCTAGTCATAGCTTTGGTGGCCAGTAGAGGTTTTGTGTGTGTCTAAGATTTATCTGGAAGGTAGAGTTACAGAGAAAGAGGGAAAGGAAGGAGGAATAAAAGGTTCTTCCATCAGCTGGTTAACTCTCCAAATGTGCAGTAAGGTTGGTGCTGGGCCAGGCCACAACTGAGAGCCCAGAACTCCATCCTCCTCTCCCACGTGGGTGGCAGGGGCCCAAGCACATGTGCTACCATCCACTGCTTTCCCAGGTGCATTAGCAGGGAGCTGGACAGGAAGCAGAACAGCTGGGAATGGAACCAGCACCCATGTGGGATACTGGGAGAGGGATTCAAGCCTGGGTGAATAAATTCCTGGGTGAGTGGCAGATTCTTCACATCTAAAATGTCCCACTGATGCTGAAGGTCAGGCATTCCTCAGCACTGACCACACCTCACAGATGTTAGTTCAGGACAGTTTATCGGTATGGCACAGGGGCTTGCTTGCTATGCTGCTGCTGTCATGACTATCGTTTCACTTCAGTCCTTCCAAAGCAATTTCCCATGGTGTGTAAAGCCGCTCAGCAGTGGGATCAGGGTGCTAGAACTGTGCGGCTGAACTCAGTCTGGCTCCATCACCTATCTGCATGATGTGAACCAATCATTAAATGTCCTGTAACCTCATCCTCCTCTCTCTGGGGCGCCACCAGTATTTCCTTCCTGGATAAGGTGGTTTAGAGAGTTAAGTGAGACAATACAATTTAAAAATGTTTGGATGGGGGTGGGGGCTGGCATTGTGGCACCAGAAAGTTCCACCACAGCTTGGGGTGCAGGCATTGCATACTGGAGGTGGTTCCAGTCCTGCCTGTTTTTATTATGCCATACAGCTCCCTGGTGGTGTGCCTGGAAAAAAATCATGATGCTTTCCCAAGAGTTTGGGCGCTTGCCACTCACATGAGAGACCAGTCTCCTAGGTTTGATGTGGCCCAGCCCTGGCTGTTGTGGCCATTTAGGGAGTGAACCAGCAGATGGAAGATGTCTCTCTTCCCCCTCCCCGCCCACCCTGTTGTTCCGCCTTTCAAATAAGCCCTCCAGAAAAAAAGTTCTGAGAAATCAAATAAAATGACATACAAGAATCACTCACTGTCATCAAAATGCCCAGGCAAACAGGGAGAGTGAAAAAGCAAGCCTTAACATCCTGGATGCAGTTTTTGGAATAATAATAATAATAATAATAAAGGTCCCAATGGTTTCCACATTCAAAAGGAGTGTAATTACACCCCCAACCACGTGGCACATCTGCAAGGTTAAAGCATCCCATGCGTGCCCCCTGCTCTGGAGGACACAGGGCTGGTACGTACGGCTCCGCTGCCCAGCATGTCAGCTGCGTCCTCTCCTCGGACCTTGTGTCCTCTGCCTGTGACACCGGAGACGGCACCACAGTTAGCAGTCTCAAGTGCAAAGAGATTTCATCAGATGTACAAGCCGAGGGCTTGCAGTATTCCTTGATTGTGTGTGTGCGCTATAGCATCAAGAGATGTCAGCATTCAAGCAACGCCTGTCTTTCTGTAACGCAGCCTGGTCAACTGCTGGCCATGGGTCTGCCACAGGTGGCACAGTCACCTCTACCATTCTGCCGCAGTGCCCTAGCTCACTTGGCATGCTTTCCACCTTCTGTCAGCCAGCAAGGCTTAAAATAAACCTCAGACAAAGAGGCACCATCTAACATGGTGCAGGACCCATGGTTTCCTTTTTTTTAAGACTTATTTATCTTTTATTGGAAAATCAGTTACAGAGAGAAGAGAGACAGAGATAAAGATCTTATGTCTGCTGGCTTACTCCCCAAGTGGCCACAATGGCTACAGCTGGGCTGATTTGAAGCCAGGAGCCAGGAGCTCCTTCCGGGTCTCCCGTATGGGTGCAGGATCCCAAGGCTTTAAGCTGTCCTTGACTGCTTTCTCAGACCACAAGCAGGGATCTGGAAGAGAAGTGGAGCAGCTGGGACAGAAACTGGTGTCTGTATGAGAATCTGGCGTATGCAAGGCAAGGACTTCAGCCACTAGGCTACTGTGCTTGGCTCCCAGTTTCCTCTTAATGCACGTTGGCTAAATGATGGGCTTAAGACACAAATGTAAACTGCAGTCTACGTTACTGGCTTTACTAGGCTAGTGTGTATGCCCTCATCAAAATCCCAGGACCTCCAGGAAGTAACCATGCATGATCTATGGTAACGGTGAACTTGAAATAATTGGAAGGAACGGGAGCATTGCAATGGGAAAATCAAACAGAACCATCTTTGCTGTGGAAAATTTAAAAAACACACCATATATTTTGAGGAGGAATCTTGTTACTTAATTTGCGTCTTCTTTTCTGATAGTAGTCAGCTTACAAATAGAATTTTCCTCCCCCTGTTTAGAGATTCTGGGAACTAGAAACATACAATCCTGGGACAAGGGTGTGGCACAGCACATCAAGCCACCACTTGGGGCCACCCACATCCCCGTGGGTGCTGGCCTGAGTCCTGACTATTGTCCCTTCTGATCCAGCTCCCTGCTAATGCTCCTGGGAGGTAGCAAAGGATGGCTCAGGTGCCAGGGCTCCTTCACTCACGGATCTTGGCTCGGCCTGGCCCAGCTCTGGGTGTTGCAGTCAAGAGAACCAACAGGTGGAAGAGCTCTCTGTGTGAACGAATGAATGAATGAACGAACCAACACACAAAACACCATTTGTGACCAAAGGAATCAACAGATTAGGATCAACACCACAGAAGGCAGTGCAGATTTTAGATTCAAGCTGATGGAGAGCTAGGGAAAAACAGAGAACAAGCATCCTCACAGGTGTCCAGCACTGGCCAACAACCAGGAGCCAGGTGTGTCCATGCAATCCACTATGGAAATGAATGGACACTCCCCACCAGAGACCTACACCTAAGATACACATGTGTGTGCATACACACACACACACACGCACACAGGAAGGGCAGGGTGCTGTTTGCTCCAACAGTCCTGAGCTCACATACCTATTGCTTGAGCCAAGGCTATCACGACCTCCTGGCACGTTGTGACTTCGGTGACCCCACACACAATTCTCTGGACTCCATCCACCCATACTTTAAGTTCCATGGTGCACTGGCTAGTCAGCCCAGGGCCCTGAAAGCGCTCATCAGGGTGTCAGGTCATGTCTCCGGCTATAGGAACACACAGAAGGCAGAGGCGCTGGAGTCAGCTGGAAAAGAGAAAGAAAAAAAAAAGTTTGTTTTTTTTTTTAAATAAAAATGAACCTCAACATTTCTTACACAATACTACCATGCAAAAATATGACATGGAGCAAATCCAGTTTTACTGTATTGTAACCTGAGCACCCGTGTCAGCCATGGGCTTCTGCTCTCTACACAACCACACAGGTGCACCAGCACACACCTAGCACGACACCGCATGATGTCACCGCTTTTCCTGCAGGTTGGATCACCGCAGTCACTACCTGTGATGCTTTCCTGAGTTGAACATTCTTATTTACTTGACCAGGTTCAGCTGCTCAGTGAGTAAGCCATTTATTTCTCTTTTGGAATTGCTTCTTTTTCTCATGAGGATAATTTCTGAGGTTGAGAACAGATAAGGGTAGAGCAGTTCCTGTCACCTCTGGGACCATGAGTGACGTAGCTCATCTCCAACAGCCTTGCCAGCACTGGGGATGCACGTTTCTCAGCAGCCCTCATCAGTCAATACTCCGCGTGTGCCTCTTGGTTTCATGCGTCCCCAAGCCTGGTGCAGTCACCTTCACCAGGAAGACACCAACATTGGGCTTGGAATGGTGGAAGAAAATGGATTTAAAAAAAAAATGCTTGGTTGCATTGCATGCCCAATGGAGGGTCACATTCCCACACAGGCAATACAAAGCGACCTGGCCTGTGTTCTTCAGGATGCTATGAGCCTACAAAACATCACTTAAATGCATTTGTTTTTCTGGTACATTTTCAAAATCTTCATGTGTTAAATCTGTAATTGCTCTAGGATTAATTTTATTTGTTCATTGCTTCATCAGGTTTCTATTTCTTGGTTGCATTTTTTTTTAAAAAAAATAGTTTAAGTTTATGAGACATTAAGGGACACTGATTTGTCTAAGAGAACATGTGGCCATGTTTTAGGGCTTGCAATGGCATTAGTGCTTCAGAATGAATCAGTAATGATTAAAAAGCTGATTTTAAAAACACTAAAACCTGGGCCCTGTGAGGTAGCCTAGCGGCTATGGTCCTTGCCTTGCATTCGCTCGGATCTCATCTGGACTTTGGTTCTAATCCCGGCTTCTCCACTTCCCATCCAGCTCCCTGCGTGTGGCCTAAAGCCTTGGGACTCTACAACCCATGTGGGAGACCCAGAAGAAGCTCCTGGCTTCAAATCAGCTCAGCTCCAGCCACTGTGGCCCCTGGGGGGAGTGAACCAGCAGATGGAACATTTTTTTTTTCTTTCTCTGTCTCTCCTCTCTGTAAATCTTTCTAAAGCCTTTCTCATAAAATATCATTTACTATAAACTGAAGCTTTGTCCTGTGTCCTGAAGGGACCTTGCCCAGCTTTGTCCCAGAGAAGGTGCAGTGTCCCCCGGGGGTGCTGTATCAGCTCTGGGCCAATTCTGAGCAGCTTCCTTAACTCTCATCTACACAGCTAGGGAGCAGTGAATTCCCATCACTCTGTCCCCTGGTTAGCAGGTCCTTGGAGACCTCATGTTTTCTGGGAGAAAATGAGTCGTTTTAAGGCCAGAGGCATGCAAGAAACCCAGGGCATACAGCTGGACAAATTTCTCCAAACCCTTTACATTTCTAGTAAGATCTGGAGCGGGTACTTAAAGCAGCTCCGAGAACTGAATGAAGGAAATACAGGTACAGTTGTTTCATAACAACCATGTTCGTGGACCTTTTTGAAGACTTTTTATGTCATTGATTCTTTGGGATAAAAACCTAGGTTACAAAACTAATCAAGCATCAATATACTGCTTTAACAAGTTGAAAAAAAGTTCAATTCAAAGTTTGTTTTAAAAAAAATCCAGCCCCTTATTTTTCATGACAAAGTCTTAATGTTGGGAAACCTATAGAGAAGCTGTAGTTCTCACCTGGGAGCCCCCTCCTCCCAGAAAGAGACCTGTGGGACTTTTTAACCGCGGAAGAGCATTCAACAGGAGCTGTATCTGCGTCACACACTTCCCAGGCAAGAGGCTGTATGTGGAGCTTCAGATCACTGCACTGAACACCTGTCCCGCTGTCTTTTCTGTTTCTGTCAGTTTGGCTGTTTTAAATATCACATGTAAAGTTTCCAATACCATTCTAGCTTTTAGTAGAGTACCAAACGTTTTCCTATCTGCACGATGATCGTAATTTCCCTTCAAGCTCTTAAACAAGTGAATACAAACCCACCCACCCACCTGCCCTCCCAAACAGGCGTTAACTATTACAGAGTATTGCCATCCTGTGTGAAAATACTGAACGTCAGCGGGATTGCTTGGTAATGTCAACCTGCAAACCCACATCCTGATCAGACTTCCCACAGCAGAGCAAACCAGCCCTGCGATTCTGCTTTACCCCCACTAACAGCTGTCACACTAGGACCCTTTGGGAGGGTGGGAAATGCCTTCATGGACCAGGGCAGTGTGCCAGCGACTGCTGGCTTTCTTGTGATTTAGGGGAGAATATGGCTCCTGTAGATTTTGGGCTATACTGATAGTGCTAGCTTCCTCCCCAAATCATTCATAAGTCATTTGAGGGTCTCGTCTCTCCATCTCCCCAGCAGCAGCCTCCAGCACCTCCAACTACAAGATGCAACCCCAGCCTTTTCTTTCTACCTTGCAGGGACCATATCCCACAGCTGCACCCCCAGCCCCAGAGCCAGACCAGAGCGGGAGACAGGGGCCTACACTGCAGGTGCTGGTGGTGCATCAGCTCTCAGGGCAGCCGACGGCCTGGGAAGCAGAAGGGTTCCGTGTTTCCATCGGAATTTGGAACACATTTCCCCGTGGAGACGGTGGCGGAGACACAAGTAGGATTCTATTGCAAAGACAGATATATTTTAAATGTGTGTATATTTTCGTTAGTTGAGAGGCAGCAAGGGACAGAGAGAAAGATCAGGGGGTCCCATCTACTGGTTCATTCTTCAAATGCCTGCAAACAGTCCAATCTGGGCAGAATCCTCAAACTAGGTCATGGGTGTCTCCGAGATGGGTGGCAGGGAGACACTGGGTGCACAGGAAGATACAGACACCAACTCCTCACATGAAGAAATGACCAAACATTCAACTCATCCGCGGCCCAGCCTGGGAGCAGGTTTTGCAAACAAGGGACACAGCCTCTTAAATATCTCATGGGAACCTAGGGGACAAGTTGCCGGCCTTTGAGCATGTGCTGTGGGTGGCTACAAGTGGCGATGGGTAAGCTAGTTCAAGTCCCTTACAGGGACAACGCAGAAAAAACAAGAAAACAGAATCTTGCTTTTCTCTTTGATGTGAGAAGTGCTCATTGCCACCATTAATGCACCTCTGCTAAAGGTAGTTTTGCATCTTTCCTTTTAGAGATTTATCTCAATCACTGGATTTTTTTTTTCTTTTGGGTGTCTTGAAAGGTTCATGATGCTGAACACTCCGTGCAGGTTGGTGATTAAATCGAACAGACCCAAGCCCTGTCCTGTGCTATCAGTCAGTCCCTGGTTCCATCCCACGACTCAACATTGGGCTGGGTGAGAAGTGAGTCCCGGGGTCCTGGCTCAGCTGCAGCTGGAGCAGCGCCCCCTCACTCCACACATGCACCACTCTTTCCAGTGCATGCAACTTTCTTCCCCACCCCTCCTTTTCTCTCCACCATTCCGGCTTTGCCATATTCTTCTTAAATCATGAGCCAATAAAGCTCCAGAGACTCTCGGGCTGAGGCTGGTGCAGTTTCCGGGGAAGGTGTGGACGTCGGCCCAGGGAGGCCAGTGAGGGGGTGGACACATAGTGCCCCCCCCCGTCCAGGGGTGTAAGGTCACTCATGCCAATACACGGAAGCTGGATGGGTGAGATAGCTTGCCCTTCAGAGCCAGCCGTCCTCTGGCCACCAGTGTGCACCTGTACCATCACCTCTCTGAGCACAGCAGCCTGAGACCTGGTCAGAGTTCGTCATGGCTATCAGGTCACCTGCCCAGGGGCTGGCAGAGCCAGTCTTTGAAATCATCCTGCAGTCTACATTATTCAAAACATTCCATGTATGCTGAAAGTTCCCAGTAACTCCTGAAGCAGATCCTAAAATGGGGTTACTGACAGGAGAACCAACAGCGTGGATAAACTGGTCTGCTCTTGCTCATTTTCATCCATGGTTATGGAAGGCAGATAGGATGGGACCTTACAACTTTGACTTATTCAAATTTTGGGGGGGGGGGGTAATATTATTCAAAAAGAATCACACAGACACAGAGAGAAATAAGAGAGGGAGAGAGAGAGATCAATCTTCCACCTGCTAGCACACTCTCCAAATGGCTACTGTGGCTAGGGCTCGGGCTAAGCTTCATCCAAGAGCCAGGAACTTCTTTTCTTTTCTTTTTTTTTTTTTAAGATTTATTTATGTTTTTGCAAAGTCAGATATACATAGAGGAAGAGAGACAGAGAGAAAGATCTTCCATCTCCAAGTGGCCACAATGGCCAGAGCTGCACCGATTCGATGCCAGGAACCAGGAACTTCCTCCAGGTCTCCCACGTGGGTACAGGGTCCCAAGGCTTTGGGCTGTCCTTGACTGCTTTCCTGGGCCACAAGCCGGGAGCTGGATGGGAAGCAGGGCTGCCAGGATTAGAACCACCACCCATATGGGATCCCGGCATGTTCAAGGCGAGGACTTTAGCCACTAGGCCACGCTGCCGGGCCCAAGCCAGGAACTTTCATCTGAGTCTCCCACATAGGTGGTAGGAGCCTAAAGACTCGGGCCATCCTTCACTGCCTCACCAGGCACATTAACAGGGAGCTGGATCAGAAGCAGAGTAGTTGGAACTCAAGGAGCTTATATGGGATGTTGGCATCCAGCCCCACAATCTGACTTCATAAAAATCTCTTAGCAGTAAGCTGTTGGGTTCTGTTTCTTGCGGCAGAATGAAAAAACAACAAAACACACAATACCACTTGTTTTGCAGTTAAACCTCCTGGGTGGGTCCCAGTCTGCTCTGTGGCGCCCCCAGAGATGGTTGAGCACAAATGCAGAGTCCCATTTCC